AAATACAACAATTTTTTTAGCGTTTTAAGATCACCTTGGAAATTGTATTAATTGATTTCTAAATACTTTTACTTAAATCTATTATTTAAAATATATTTTTAAATTTCAGGATATAACTTTCGCATTTTAAATTTGTTTCGGAAGGGGGGGGGCTATGTTTCTGCAGGACCCCGAGTCGAAAATGGTCTACCTCCGGCACTGGTTGGAGGTGAGGGTACTGTCGTGGGGGAGGGGGTGGTCGTGGTTACAGCAGAAGCGGTGCCGCTGGTTATCAGGGTTCTAGAGGTGACAGTGTTTAACGGTGATGAATGAAAGCAAGCAGTGTTAGTGGTGGCATCTAAGAATTCAGCAATAGAGGCGATAATCTACTTTTTTCTACAGTTGATTCTTTGAAGAATATCTTAGTTCTTTGATTCTATTGCCACGAGAAAATAGCCCTATCGAGCTATTTTCTAAGCTCGATAAGGCCAATCGCTAACCGAAATGCTAATGAAGGGGCGGGGGATCAATAATCGTGATTTTTATTAGAAATTTATGCTGAAATTTGATGCTGAAATTTATGCTGAAAAATGATTTATGCTATTTATGAAGAAATGCTTTAAATAAGAGAATTTGCTTCAAATAAACTAACGTAACTATAATAAATGGAAATGAAAAGATAGTGAATAGTTTTTCTCATTCCACTTTTCATAAAGATCAATTAAGATTTCAAAGTACGGATATACGTTTGAATAACACATTCATTGTCATCATATTTTTGCTTTAAACAGGAGACAAAATGAACTCATGCGTGTGTATCGCGTTTACAAATGATGGACACGAGAAGATCTTATTTTCACTTTGAGGAGTGTCTGGGCTCTCTTCCGAACAGGAATGAAGATCATCCCCCCTTAGGAACCGCCCCCCCCGCGCCGTTGCCGAGTGACTCGAGTCGAGTAGACGCCCGGGGCCGCGCAGGCCGAGAGTGGGATGAACGTGCCGTCGGGTGGCGCGACTTCAGGAGGCTGCGACTTCTCCCCGCCCCGTCCCTCCCCCGCCTGCCCACTCCACCGCGCTCCTCTTCCCCTCTTCCGGCTCTCGTGAGATTGGAGCGGCGACAATGGAGGGCGAGCGGGGGCGGCGCGTCGCGGCGCCTTCGTTTTAAATGGACGGCGGGACGCGTGGAGACGGCTCGTCACAGAGTTATGAGGTTTCCACGGCGCTCGTAAAGATGACCTGCTAAGACGGAACGCTCTCCCTTCGCCCTACGGCGTCTTGGCAGGTAGGGAGCGGGCGTGCGAATCGAGGTTTGTCTGGCTGCAACGGAAAATAGGATCCTAAGGCATAGGTGCCAAGGTTACCATTTGTCTTCTATGTTCTTTCTTCAGCGAAGCCTGTCTTGACCAGATAAGGTGATGAGATTTTCGCCTTTCTTTGCTTTGTTCTCATCCAGCAATAAAAGTAGGGCAAGAAAGTTCGCTTGCGATCTAGCCATCTAAAACAGAATGCCTTTTAAACATAGTACGCAGAGAAGACCGCTTGTTTTAGAATGTCCGAATAATCTCACAAATAATTACGAGCATGTTAATACTAATTTGAGTGCATTCATCAGGACGCCTTGCGTAAAATAAAAAGCGGAATGAAATATTATTAGAACATAGGCAGAATTAAATTCAAATAAGAAATGAGCATCTGCTTTGCAATGCTGAGAAGTCTCAAGTAAAAGGAAATTAAAACGTCACACTGAACTTTACTTTCAAGTAGAAATTAACAAGCGAAAGTAACTAATTATGCATGTCAAGTTTCAGTTGATAACTCGGACATGTCTCCGTAGATTCTACCTCACAAACAGGGGGATAAAGTCGGAACGAAAAGAAAATTCAAGTCGTTCGCGCTTGCACAGAAGTAAGTTAATAGGTGTATTTCATTTTGATCCGTAAGTGTTAAGGAGGGATACGACAGTTCACTTTCAATGCTGCGACACTTGTTGCTTTAAACAGAAGTGGAAAAAGATTCTAGACTGAAAAAGTTTCAAGAAGATCGGTAAAGAATGTAAAAAAATTAAAAGCTGAAAGAAACGAGATTAACTGTTTTGTTCTTTGATCAGGGAAGTGAAGACTTCAATATCAACTATCCTGAAATACGGAGCAGAGCATTACTGCCAGGATGACACTGATTCTTGCAAAATTTCATTGACTAAACAAAAATACAGTTACGATCAAATATCGATTTCATTAATTTCGAATTAACGCATGAAATGTAGAAAAACTAAGGACCCTCTGGCCATATGAAATGCTAATGGTTTTGATCGATATCCAGAAACTTGGAAAAATGCAAAAACAATGTTAAAGTTATGTTTTTGACTAAAAACTGATAATGTTATACCTAAATTTATCAAACCTGATGTTACGACTATATTCTCAATCTAAATGCGTTACTTCTTTCTACACAGCTGACGTCATGCGAGAAGGATTTAATATTCAAATGTGTCGGGGATCAAAAAGGCCTTAGTATTCAAATGTGTCGTTTCAGAACAGCCGATTTTTGCTGCTCATTTTTCACACACTCAGCAGCATTATTATTGATGTAGCAGGTCACTAGAATTAATTATATCATTAATGAATCTCAAATTTAAGCAACTCCAAATTACAGTTAATCTAAAGAAATCCGGCGTTTCACAGAAACTCTTAATGACTACTATTGATTGGTTTTGGTCCGGAATCTTTTCTAGATTTGAAAAAAAATATGTTTGAGTTATCATAAGAAATGAATGATACAGAGAAATGTGAGGGACACAATAAACGTAAGTTTTGCAATTTTTTGCAGGTGAGATGTGTTACAAACAGACACAATTAAAAATGTACCAATTTTTGGTCTGTTTTCCGATTATACTTCAACATTACAGCAGTCGTTCTACCGTGAATACGACTTTAAAAACACAGCATATAACAAGCGGTGCACAGCCAAGTTCTGTCTAGAATGTTGAGTCACTTCATTGTTGAAGTTGCGTCCCGATAGTACTGATTTCAACATAAAAATTAAGTGACGGCAGAAAAAAGTGGAGCAAATCGGAGCTATAGATAGAATTTTTCAATCTCTCCCATCAACGAATGTACTCTGCAATATTTCTTTCACTGTGAGGTCTTACATTCATGTCCAAGAACAAAACCCATCAACTCAAGATCCCAGGTCGCTTACATCGAATGGCAGACTTTGGAGTGATTAGTGTAAATCTACAGTTTGCAGCATTGACGGTGACTGTTCCGGGAAAACCAAGTAGGATGACTTCCTTCACGGTCCAAAACACATTTTAAATTCTTCAAAAACACTACAATTTTTTCCAATGGTGGGGGTGCTGGGTTGTTTGAAGGCGGATTTGGACTCTGAGGTAAAGAGATGCACGAATATCCCATCGATTGTAATCCCGAACAGAAAGTCATTGCCCTCACTCTCGTATGGCATGTAGTGTTTGAGACTTATTGGCGTTCTTGCAATTCAGTGCAGTGAACAGTGAAGTGAACAATAAATAATTGATTAGGAGGTTTTCACGGTAAATAACATCTCACTCCAAGATTTGAAACCCTCTCACTATCCAGATTCGCTGGTATTGAAAACGTTTAATCTATCCCCACCTTAAGGATGAGCACAACTATGGGTTGAATGGCTGATTTAACTTAATTTAATATTTTGTTTTCTTACATTTTTTTCCAGAAATTATTTATCATTCCATGTGCATAACTTGTTGTAAATTTTGGAGCTACCAAAAAATAACAAGAAGGAGTACGGTTTGATCCTGTACAACACCGTAGCAACATCGTATTTTTATTCCCCGAATGTTGCACGCGTTTGATCGAAGTGCCCAGCGCGACCCGCAAACTTGGCAGCTCATCCATTTGGAGAGACGTCGCGTCATCGCGTGTTACCATAAATCACAACTCCTCTGCATCCTGACTGCCAACCTCGCGAACAAAAAACACGAAAAAAAGAGCGAGAACGAGGAGCGGCTCGACTCATCCACCCGGCTAATCAAGCGCTGTTTCCAGCGCGCGCCAGTGAGGGTGGAGTGGAAATCGTCCCATAACACACGCGATGAGAGCTGCTTAAGGAAATCAAGGCGGCGGCGCCCCCGGGTCCCCGGCCCTTCCTTCGCTCGCGGCCGCCAGAGGTCACGCGAACGCCGCGGCCTGCGCCTCCTGGAAGAGAATGCCCACTGCGCCCCTCACGGACTTCTCTAGAAGTTTAGGTGGCTCAGGGCAGCAATTGACGTCCCTGTAGGACCTCTAACCGGTTGGAATTCCGACGGGGGCAGGATTTTTGACACTAACTAAATTACTAGCTACATTAGCAATTATTGACGTAGCTAGATCGAATTCAGCCGCTGTGTGGACGAGAACACTAGCGACCGGCCGCTCTGGTTGGTAGATCTCCGTGGTTTCTCCAGTCAACAACAGGTGAATGCCAGATCGGTGCCATAACAAACGGGCCACGGACTGCGCGCGATATTTTCTTCCTCTTCCTTACACGATTTTTCTTATCCTCTCCCACATACAAGCACAACACTAACACATGTCGGGAGCTCCAAGATTGCACCGGCTGGAAGTGCTCGCTGGTAAGAGATACCTAGTTGGGAAAAACCCGCTAGCCAACGGGTATGTCGGCACCGGATCTCATTCAGCGGGGAAAAAACACCTCCACGTCACGCACACAACATTTACAAACATTCACCACATTTACGGGACATTAGCAATTGACGCACTCGGAATCACTAATCAATCAATCTTCTCTAAAAGAAACCCAGATCGCTTTTGAAAAAACACCCTTTCGTCTTTTTTTCCAATCTTATGTTTTCCTTCCAATTCCTTTTCTTCCAATCTTAAGTGGCTTGTGATTTACTTATTTTACGTTAGTATTTTTCTGGATGTTGTCGCGGGCACAACTGAAATAGCGTTATTCACCTTTTTATTTCTTACAATTTATTCCCTCAACAAGAGTTAGTGTTTTATTTCTTAATCATTCTACACATTTGTTTCTCTCGAGGCCTCTGGACGTTGTCCAGGGCACTTTACAAATATTGTAATCGTCTCGTTTTTCTTCCAGTGTCTAATGTATCCAAATTCGTTAAGTTGCTTTAGGGAAATACAGAAAAACAAACATTGAAACCACAAGGGGGTTGACATTCACCAAGTGAAATGTTTGTGAAAAAATGAAGTTTTCATGTTCTTTACTAATCATGTTAATCTGCAAGTGAATAATATGTACTATACATAAACATTGGTAAATGCTATTAATTAATTCCATGAGTGAAATAGCCAAGTAAAGCATGGAATAGCCTAAGAAGTGCATTCATTGAGAAAAAATATATTGAATGATTCTGTTCACGCGTTATAGTATAATCATAATGGTTTATTGGGGATAAATTTATTCATGTATATGAATAACTTTCTTTTCCTCTATGCGGCCTCCTACTTCACCATTACGGTTTACTTTTTGACAATTTCTCTTCGGCTAAAGAGAATGGATCAATAATAATGGTGATAATACGAACTTTATGAGAGTGTGTGAGATTTCATGAGTTGCATGGAGACGGTTAAAGCGTATTATGATCCTGAAAATCGGTTTCGTATTACGCTTTTAAAATATGTGAACAAAATATGTTACACGAAATTGTCTTTTTGTATTAAACTCGAGAAGGTGAAGTATTCATTCGTGTTTTGATTTACATTTCAATACAATTGTTACGGCAAGTAGTTAACCACAATGCAAAGTACCTTTTGTTCTCTTAAATAAATTATTACGAACGCAATAAGGTTTGACAAACATTAACTCAAGTAAAACAACATATAAACATATGTTTTAAACACAAAAACAAGATAAAACAAACAATTATTACAAGATGCAACATTTAGGAACGTCAGCTGACGGTATTAGCGCACACATTACAAGTGAAGTGCGAAAACTCACTAGCTTGTGATATGCCATTGACACTACTGTTCAAACAACACAATGCAATCTCTCTCCGCATTCCATAAAGTCGCGCGCACTGTAGATAGACGTTTGGTTGAAAGGAGATGTTGTCGAATTTCCTTGAGGTTACGAGCGCGAAGGCAGAGAGAGGCCACACAAATTACCCCGCGGGAAACGCGCTCGAAGAGTCAGAACCACCGCGAAAGTTCGAGAAGAGTCGCTTTCTGCGCGACCTGTCCTAAACATTCCTCTCCTACTTCGCGTGCTTAACGCGCGAGAACAAACCAAGTTCAAACTTGACATGAATTGGGCCTCGGTGAGCGGCCAACTTACTTCGTAATCTAGAGAGACGAAAGACAGCACAAATACGCTTCGTCAGAAACGTATTCATGAAACGGTGCACTCCAGATGGGAATCACCTGCCAACGAAGGTCTCTTGTTTTTCTTTAATAACGTAGATATGAGAGATTCCACGCGCATGTAAAAAATCCTATTTCTCGCGGACATGGCAGTGTTGGGTTCAGTACTTTG